TCCAGAGCCCACCTTCAGCTCACTCCTGCACCCTACACCTGCCTCCACCACATCACCTGCTCTCTACCTCTCCACACCACAATGTTTCTGCTGCCACCAACAGCCCAGGCTGTTCTGAGACACTCCTTCCACCAGCCAGCTCCTTCCACCTGTTTTGACTGGCCCAGGACCAGCAGCTGGTGGGCTTTGGGAATGCAGCTGTCAGTGTGGGTTATGGGGGTGTAGAAAGTGCATACCACCAGCTGGGGAGGGGAAGACAGTAGCCATAGGGAAAAGAAGAGAAACTGATTTTAGTGAACTGGCTGAAGTAAAATGAATACAAACCCCAAGAGCACTATAGGAGCAGTGCTGGAGAAGACGTAAATCTTACATGCTGCTGACAGCTGCTTACATTGGGTGAGTAGGAAGAGGTTGGAGAAAGAAGTGTGTTTAATGGGAAAAACCAGAGGAGGAAAGAGGGAGGGCTAACTGTCTATAAAGGTCTTTGAAGTGGCAGATAACAGAAGGACTGCAAGCCTATTTTAATGGCCTGTAGCTATGTTCAGTCTCAGGGGTCCTGAATTGTTCTTCCATTACTATTGCGGGAAAGCAGCTGCTAGGATGAGAGATGCTAGGTGCTGTACCAACATGCATGGAGGGGCCACTCGGTTTCTAAAAGCATAGAAATCTATTTGGGATCTAGACTTCAAAACCATATGCAACCACAGGAGAAGAATTTCCTAGCTCCTTCTTGCATTTTCTGAATGCATCACTTCCCTTATGTTGAGTACTTCACCCCAACACCTGTCATAACTACATGTGTCCAGAGACCCTGGTGCAAGCCAGGCACAATAACCCTCTCATGCAGTGTTGCAATTCTGCTTTGCAGACATACCTACCAAAAAGTTGCAATGTCTGGCATTGATGGGCTGGCCACCTGGTGAGGCACTTTATATGGGACTGGTCTCTTTCCCTCTCTGTCTTAGTCCAATTCATCTGTAGTGGTAATGCACAAATATTGAGTGGTAATGCACACCACCTGCTTCTGCCTTAGCAGCTGGGGAGAAGAACACAGAGCCTAAGGATGCAGGTGGCACAGAGCATGAGTCATTTCTATGGCCAGGAGAAGGTGGTGGGGAGAAAGATCTCACTGCTGGGCCAAAAGCACCAGCCGACCTCTCTGCTCTTGCTCCGCACCGGAGTTGCAGACGTGAAGCCAGGGAGGTCAGCACAGGAGGGTCTTCCAGCTCCGGGCTCTTGCTGGGATGGCCGGACCTCCCTGTGCTGGCAGGCCCCGTGTCAACGCCCCGGCAGCGGGGCCGGGCCGGGCTCTAATCCGGTTAGGGGGGATTAGCGCTCAGGTTTAAAGGCCGGAGCAGCGCGGGGAAGGGGTGCAGGCGCGCCGGAGAGGAAGCGGCCGCGGCCGAGCAGCGGGGCAACTCGGCCGGCAGCGTGTGAGTGAGCCCGGGGGCGGGCCGGGGGCGGCCGTCCCACAGCCCCGCCACCGCCCGGGGGCTCCGGCCCCGGCGCCCTCGCTGCCCAGACGTAACCTTTTGTCCTCACTCCCTGCGCGCTTCGGTGGTGTAGACGATGCCAGCCATCAACATCGAGGACCTGAGCGAGAAGGACAAACTGAAAATGGAAGTGGAGCAGCTCCGGAAAGAAGTGAAGCTGGAAAGGCAGCCGGTGAGCGGGCGCGGAGAAGGGGCCCGGAGCTGCCTGGCGGGCGACGGAGCCGGGTGTGGAGCGGGGAGCGAGCCCGTTCCTCCCCGGGCGGCGGGGCCGGGCGCGGCAGGGGCGGCGGGGCTCTGGGAGCTGCTCGTCCGTACAGCCCCGGCTGTTTTGGGACGGCCGCGGTTTGCACCGACGGGTCCTGACTCTGCTTTGGGTCAGGGGCCGGGGACGGCGCTGTTGGCACAGCACCGCTAACACCGCGTAGGAGCGCCGGTCTTTGCCGGGGGTGGCTGTGGAGCCCGGGGGAAGGAGCGCACCATCCCTGGGAGAAAGCGCCCCGAGGGGCTGGCACGGGCCTGCCCGCCGCGGCTGTTCCCGGTGGATTTGGCGCCCTTAACTTCCCCTCCCCGTGAGTCCCTGGCGCCCAAGGCCGGCACAAGACCGCCTTGCCAGGCGAGGGAGGAGCACGTCGCGCTCTGTTCCCCTCTTCTGGAGGCAGAGCGCACAGGGACGTGCTGGTGCTAGGGGAGGGGTGGTGCTCCCCAGGGAAGCCAGGGGAGCCCAGTCGCGGCACTACACCCTGCCTGGCCCGTAGCCGGGTCTCGACTGCCCGCGTTCCCGTCCCGCTTCCCATGCTGTGCAGTGCCCGGGCAGGAGCCAAAGCACGGCCCGTGTCGAGCCGTGACCCACCCAGCCTTGTTCCATAGACATTTAGACATTTACACTGATTGTTCCTTCCCACAAGTACTTTCCCCTTAAAGGTTTATGGTTTTGTACATTTTCTGTAGACGAAGGATGTGCGGAACTGATCTTGCTGCATGATGAAACTAAATTTTTTTTTTAAATTCTGCATGCCAGCAGAGGCAAATTACGCCTAAATAAACCTTTCAAGTTAGGACCAAAAATGCAATTGTATGTGGGAATCAGTAACATTAGTCATGTTGATTACATTGAAGGTCTAGGTTTTACCCCAAAAATAAAAATGCCATAAAAATGTTTTAGCTGTGAGTTAGGTATCAGTGATTGTAGATGTTATGGTATAGTCTAAAGCTCCAGCAGTATTGAGGGCTCAACGTCCAACTAGTGTTGATACCTATATCATGTCTCAGAGGTGATTCTTAGACAACTGAAATACACTCTGCAGGATATAAAGTTTTGGAAATAATAATAATTATAACTTTAAATACTTGTCTACATTTCTGGAATAAACCAAAACCCTGGTCACTTTTGGAAAACAGGTATTTTTCAATTTTTCTGTAGTAAAGCATGCTTAATTCTACCAGTGCATTGTAACAGAAGTTTTACTGTGAGAATGAAATCGGTGTTGTAGTTGCCACAGTCCCCTAGTACCTGTATGGGTGTTACAGGGACTGGGAAATGCAGAAACCACATTACTGTTGGTACCAAAAGAAAAACATCAGCCAAAATTTTCTTGACCCCCCACTAACAACTTTACAAAATAAAAAGGAAGTGGCCTTTGGAATGAATAAAAATTTCTAAATATGTATTTAAGCAGGCTTTTTTTCTTAGTAGTGAAAGTGATCCTGGCAGTGCTGACTGAAGTAAAACCCTGGTATTTCATATACTTTGGCATGCAACTGTACTATGGTGTTAGGTGCTCCAATTTGAATGAACAAAGTTTGCAGGGCACAGAAGAACAAGAGACGTGTAATGGGATTTGTAGGTCCAGCTTCTTCTTTGCTCTAAGGCAGCTAGATCTTATTTTGTGCGCTGTTTAATTGGGAATTAACTCTGTTCTTTCTGATGGCTTAAAGCTTAATTTTGCACAGGCCATGCTCTGTTGTTTGTGCTGCAGCTGCAGAACCAATGAACCAAATTCGTTGGTTCTCTTGTTGTAGTTTTACCTTTGAAATAAAATATAATTAACAGAGGAGGCAAGGGGCCTTAAATTAGAAATACTAATCATCTAGTGGCCTGGCCAACAGCTGGTTCCTGCTGCTGACTCTGCACAGCAGTACCACTGCAGGGCCTGCGGGTAGGAAGGGAGGAGGTGGGGACAGAGCAGGAGTGTGTCCTCAGGCATGTCAGGTATTTGAGCATCTAGGGACAGTTTCTGCTGACACAGAGAGCAAGAGATGTGAGTGCACAAGGAACCTCAGGAGGCCCAGATGTTCACTTGTGCACTCTCAGGCTCCACAGACACCACTACCACATGTGCTGCATGTGCTTCTGTGTCAGTGAACAGAAACTAAACACTCTTCTTCATAGCTGGGTTCTGTGCAGGCCTACCTACATCAGTGCTAGTTTGGTATGAACACTATGGGAAGTGTTATGGTCTCAAAACACAATAGGCTCTTTTATTAACCATTGTTTGAAATAATCCCAGGCAACCAGTAAATAAATTGTCTTTCCTAGTTAGGCTCTCATTCAAGGTGCATCATTGCTATAGTAGAACTACAAAGTAAGAATTAGTATTACCACTGAAAAATCATTGCTGAATGTTTTGTTTGTGAAAAACACATAAAGCCATAAATAATTTGAAACTGAATTGAAAGTTACTGACCCTGAAACTATTGACCATAAGTCATGCTGGTGCTGAGGGAGAGTGTGATCTGCAGCTTAATAAAACTAGATTGGCTAATTATGAATACAAATTTAACTATGCAGCGACGGCTGTTCAGAGCAGTGTTTACATTCTCAGAGGTACTCACATGTTCTGTCAATATCAGGCTGTAAAAATAGAGAAAGGAAGCTGAGTATGCACGTGCTTAGTGCTCTGTGGCCAGATATTTTATGCTTGGTGGGAAGGTGAATGAGAGAGAATATAAATTCACGGGTTTCTTCCTCTGATGAACATTTCCCACGGCCGTAACGAAGCCACTTTTCTGTCATTTCCCTCGAGGTGTCCAAGTGCTCCGAAGAGATCAAGAACTACATCGAGGAGCGGTCGGGAGAGGACCCGCTGGTGAAGGGGGTTCCCGAGGACAAGAACCCCTTCAAGGAGAAGGGAGGCTGTGTCATCGCTTAGGAGAAGGAGCCCCGCGCCTGCCCCTGGAGCAGACATTCCTCCCGTACCCGTAGGGAGTGACTAGCGTGTCCCCATTGCCGCCAGTCCGTGCCGAACGAGCACAGGAGCGGATTTCTTTTTATCTTCTATTTCTCCTTACAAAAATACAGAAACCCGCGCGAAAGCTGCCGAGCCCCGCGCCGGCCGCTGGGCAGGGCCGGCTGTGCCCCGCTCCCCGCCGTGGCCGGCCTCTGTCGCTGCGCGGGCCCGCTCGCCACCCGCTTGTCGGTCGCTTCATGGCTGTTCGTTGGCATTAAAGAAAAGCTGCCCGTAACCCGAGAGCTGCCGTGACTTGCTTCAGGGGCGAGAGGAGCGGGAGGAGGGACGGGGCGGGGCGGGGGCTTCTGGGCGCCCCGGCCTGGCTGTGGGGATAAGGCGGCTGTCCCGGCCTTTGCCCGGCACCGGAACCGGCGGGGGCCATGGCGCTGCGCGGCGGCGGGCGCTGGGCGCGCCTGGGCTCGGCGCTGCGCGGCCGCAGCTCGGGGCTGCGGCACGCCGGGGACACCCCACAGCACCGCGACTTGCGGGAAGCCCTCCGGAAGGTACTGAGGGGGACCGGGCAGCGGCGGGACACCCGGCCTCGCCGCCCCGTGCGGGGAATGAAGCAGGGCAAGGGCAGCGAGACGACAGAACGGCTCGGGGTGTGGTTCAATGAGTAAACTTCCCTCTGGCAAGGCCAGAAACGGAACCCGGTGCGTTCCCTGCCTGTGTGTGACCCGCCGGGTGGCAGAGCCCTGCCCGGCAAGTGCTGCCCTGGGCGGAGCGGGGGCTCGGTGCTGCAGAGCAGAGCCCGCCGGGCACTGTCCCCGTTCTAGAGGCGCACGATGGATTGATAACGGGAGCCTCCTGCAAAACTCAGTCATAAATCAAGAGGGGCGCTTCTGGTAACGTAGCATGTAGATTGAATGCCAAATGGCAACCTGCAAATAACAGTAGTGCTGGCGAGCTCAGTGTATTCCCGTCAGCGAGGTCAGTGTCACCTGCAGATCTCCGTGGTACTGTTCAGAGCACCTGCCAAAGCCAGAGAATCAGCCGCTTCGGCTGGAGGGAGCCCTGGTGTGGTGCCCACTGCGGGGCCGAGCACCGCTGGGAAAGAGAAATCCACCTTTGGCCTCTGAACCGCTGAGAAAAGTGCTGGAGTTCAGTACCTGCTGCAAGGACCAAACACCATTATTGTGGCCACCACATAAGAACGTACAATGTTCAGGAGAAGGGAATGTAAGGACTTGTTTCAGATTGTAGGCAAGTTTCCGAATTCTAGCTGGTCGTGCAGTGCTCTGCTGTAGTTTTTTAAAAACAGTTTGCTCTGGATTGCCAGATACTTTTTGTGTGAGTTTGGAGCTATGCTGTCCTATCTTTCATGGGTGCTTTTAATAATTACTTGCAGAATCTTGTATTTTCCTGAATAAACTTAATTATTTCCAAATTTCACCTCACCTCTAGTCCACTGTGGACAAAAGATAGTGGAGTTCCTTCTGAATGAAGTGATATTTACCTTAGGTTTGATTTTTTTAAACTTTCACATTTCAGTGTTAAAATATCCCAAACCAAGTGTAATTAATCAGTTTTTCTATCACTGAGATCTGTTGTCATCGAGCTTTGGGAGAAGGGGGTGTATCTTCTGTGTTATAAAAAAGAAACATGAGCAAGGAGGAAAAGAGACGCATGACCTGTCACTTTCTTAGTTTCATTGCTCTACATTCCTGGACTCTGCAAAGCAGAAATAAGATGATACAGAAAGAACCAGAAGCTGGAAATTAATCCCCCTCCCTCACCTGGCTTAACAGTGTAGAATTTTGATGCTAATAACATTGTGTAAAATTTGTGCTGATTCTGTCTGGAGAGAGCCTTCATATATCTGTGTATCTGCAGAGCTATCGGCCCAGTGAACTTGTTTCCTGGCATGCTGCTCTTCATTACCTGCCCAGGAACAGCAACTGCATTAATAAAAAATTAGTGTCCTGAAATGCAGAGGACAAGGCCAGACCTTGTGAAGGAGGTGATCTGGGAGATTTTAAGTCCATGGATCAGTTAAGGCACACATTGTTTTATATCCCAAGTATTTGCAGCTGTGTATTTATTGAGGACAAGGTAAGTAGCTATATTAGTGTCTGCTGCAGTGTTTGCTGCTCTGTTGTGTGACACAGTGCTTTTTTTTGGTAAAACTTTCCCCTCCCTTGTTTTTATGCCCACCGTGACTACTGAAGTGCAGTTAACAGTGTGCTCTACCTTGCTGCGTTCAATGTAGATGATTAAATCATGGTTAAGAGGGAATGTGATGTTACATTTATCACATAAAGCCTGTGATTAATATATTATAGAATAAATCACAGTAGACAATATAAACTTGTTTTTTTTCATTGTCCTGCATGTAAAAAATTGCTTATATAGCACCTGTTTTAGATTTGCTCTGATCATATTGGAAAAAAAGAAAAATCACTATTTATGTCAAATCCATCTGATGTTGTTCGCACAAAGCTTCTAGCAATCAGTGTTTGTTTTGTCTTAATTTAAGCCTTTCCCCAGTGACTTTAAGATAAATTGAAAAGTGTCCCCAGAGTATTTGGGAGAGAATCACCATTCAGTACCTCTAACACACTTTAAGTATACCTGCTATATATTCTGGGGCACTCTTTCCAGGAGCTAAATCCAGATGCGAGTACCAGAGAAATCAGAGAAATGAGCAGTGCAATTCCATGAGTGGGAACTGGGTTTTTGCATTTGCTTGTTTGCATTAATTTTATTTTTTAGTGTATTAATGTACTTTAAATGATCTATAATTTCCCAATTGTTCTGAGCAGGATGAGGAAGAGACTCTTATAATTCCAGGGGGCTGTTTTTAGCAAGGCTATTGAAATAATCCTGTGAGTGGTTTCCTTTACAACTTTATAGGTCACCACCCTTCCTCTTGGAAATTGAAAACGTAACTTTTCCTTAACTTGTTGAACAATGCTTGCAGTACACTGATATCCTACAGCTTGCTTCAGTAATTAGTATAGCTGGTTTGAAGAAAAAAGTTTAACTTATTCTGTATATGTATGTCTAACAGTATTCATATACAGAATGTGTATGGGCTGACTATTTGTCTTTTTCTCTGGCATTACTAGTAAGAAACTTTGGGAAATGGTGAAATTTGACATATATTTTGCTAGAGTTGCATGTAATATAAATGACATTTCATTTTATGCCTAGTGGTGACTGGGTGTAGTTACACTGTGTTGTGTGTCTGTAGGATGAGAATTCCCCTGTGACAATGAGACTCCACCGAGGGACATTGCTTCTTTGTTTGCTACTCTTGGCTTGTATGTCACGAGTTTCTGTTTATTAATATATATCTATATATCTTTGCAGCAGTTAGTGTCTCTTTGTATTAGAGAATGCAGGATCTGAATTTAATATTGACATTTCCTTTAGCTTTCTGGTAAAATTTCTGTAAATTTTCCATCAAAATAATATGGCTCTTTCTGACTACCTGCAAAATAATGAAGGGTGAACGGTATTAGCATTGGAGCACCTTGGAGGGAGTTGGTTTATTTGTTGTTGTAAGAAAACATAAACCTCTGCCACAGGATGGTAATTTGTTGGTATTAGGAAGAATCACTTAAATGCCAGTTTCTCACTAAGTTGGAAGAGAGAAAACATGCAGCTGAATCTGAACAATACATGATTAGCATCTGTAATTTTAAAACCTAATTTATCATACACCTGAGTTAAAAGCTTGAGGAAGAAAACAGTTAGATGTGGCACTGGCAAGGCTCACAGTTTCTGCACTGGCTGCCCTTCTGTCTAAGGGAAGCAAAATGTATTCCCAGCTTCTGGGGTATTGCAGTAGTCTTTTTCATCTTGTGTCTGACAGAAACATCACATAAACATTTAGGGGCTAATTGTCCTGCTGGTACCAAGAAGTTTTGGTGGTAGTTTATCAGAGAGGAAATCTTCATAATTCAATTTTGTTGTTATTGGAAGAGGCAGCTGGGATACACCACTGTAATATGAGAGACCATCAAGTACACCTACTAGTGCCCTACCAAGAAGTGCTTTTAAATCAGTGTAGGAGAACAGGAGAGGGAAAAAGAAAAAAGAGATTCACTTTATTTAAGCAAGCTCTGTAAAAAGCTTTTTCTCATAATAGGAAAAATGGCACTTTCTGTACAAATGCTTCAGAGTGTAGCAAAAGTGCAATTAAGGCAATTTTGTAGTCAGTGCTCCTGTTTGTTACTTGGTGTCAGAGTAGAGCTGATATTGAGGTTGAGTTGTTGTGTCCTAACACTGGATTTTTTTTTCCTGCCTCATATCAATGTTAGAACAAATTTCCACTGTATCTAGTTAGACTTTTCCATGAACAGTTTTCAGAGCTATTCCTAGTGGGTATTTTTGTGTCTCAGATCTAGCTATTATATTGCTTTATCATTGCCACATTTGATTAGGCAATACAGTTATACATTTATGACAACTAAAATGGTGTCTTAATAAGCAACTGATGCCTGAGGAAAAAGTTGGGGTTGAGACTGGTTTTGTCTGACAGTTCAAATGTGATGGTGTGGGCTGAAGTGAGAGAACTTGTTTTGTTCCTCCAGGGATGTAACCCAGATTCAGAAGGAGGACCCAAACCCCAAAATGCCAGCCTGTGGTGGACATTACAGTCTATCTAATCTGCATCTCTGTGTTGGAAAGTACGAATTGCAGGAGCAAGAAAAGGTGATCACTTGCTCAATCCTGTATCTCTTTCATAACTCAATACAAGTAGCCTGGATATATTCCAGTGGCCAGAGCTCCCTGTCACCCAAAATGCTTGTCCCAGATCAGTGCCTAGATTGGCACAGCACACATTTTTGGTCTTGTAGGACTACACTGGTTTAAAAGCATCTGCCCTCAGATCCTAGGAATAGCTGCGCCCTCAGCACTCACTTTTTCACAAATTTTGGGATCCTCCCTTTCCTGCCATGCTCTTGGATAGGGCAGTTGAAGGGGGTGTATTTGTGAGTGTGCAGGGACTGCCAAGACACTCAGGTCTGCACAGGAGGGATTCGTTTTTGCCACTGTCTTTGGAAAAATGACATAAGGAGGGAGAAGGTGTTGGCTGGGATCATGTGTGTTCCTTCCCAGCTGGAGCTGCCTTCCAACCTCTCATTCCTCAGGAAATGGTTGAGCAGGGCTCATCTCCAGGGTGGGGGGCTGAACCTTTCATTTTCTTAGTATGATGATGATGTATGCCCTCTCTGCTTCAGCAGTGGGGCTCCCAGATGTGCCAGCAGCTGTATGGGGTGGAGGGCAGAACAGGCTTCTGCACTCCCTGGTGAACTTGTAGCATTTTAAGATTTCAGTAAGTGTTGGCAAAAGCTTTGTAATTGATTCGGTGTTTGAATTTTTTGGTTTCCTGAAGTAAAAACTGTTGTCAGATGTATGGGACCAAAGGATAATAAGTATTCAAATTTCTGAACCAGTAATCAGCCTTGCTTTATCTGTTAGGTTCATTGCAAGGAACTGTGTTGCAGCGAAAAGGAAGAAACACAATTATTTAAACAGAAACATGTCTAGATAC